ATTTTTCTCGACACAAAAAAACGTAATACAATTATTTTGGTCTGACAGTTCATGTTCTTTTCATATTTTTTTGTTCTTTTTCAGTCACTGTAAAATGACATTGTCCTCTGTAACATGTTATGTAATTACAATGAGTATACCTTGAGGCCGGAGGCCTACAGTATTATGAATAAATTTATTATATACATATGAATAAATGATCAGTGCAACTTCCGATCTTTCTGTACAACCAACTGGGTTGTAAAACCTCGGCAGTATATACAACGAGGCATTGATGGTTTATTGAGGTTATCGCAGTATGACTTCTGTAGCGGTTTCAACTGATTTCCAAAAAAAAAAATATTTATTTGTTTTGTTTTTCAAAGGGGCCGAACTTTTTATTGGAACAACATCTTCAAATTGGTCCTTCTATGTTGATACTACAAGGAGGCTAGCGGGACGTAAAACCATATATCTACAAACATTGCCAGGAGTCCCAAGGACGCTTAATAGCAGTGTGTCAGTCATATGAAGAAACGTTGGACAGCTTCACACAAATCTTACAAAATTGGCATGTTCGATCACTGTAATGAGCGTGTCAACGAATAACCACTTAATTCCAAAATGAAATTGACGTAGTCCTGCGAAAATGATCTCCTTACAGCGACGTCAAGAAAACTGTCAATGGCAGTATATTGTAAGTCACTCAGCGGAACTTACAGAATATCTGTATACAAGTCCAGGTCCCTCTTGCAGGATGTGCGCAATTATTTTGTATTATTTATTATTTAATCACCATACAAAACATGTAGTGATGTGGATCACTTTGAATATTTTTGTATGATTTTTCTGTCCGCTAATTCATTTGACAATCCTTAAAATTCGATTCAATGTAAACTTATGATTCTTTGATGGAATGCTGAAATACAAGATTTTAATTATCTGTACAAAAGGTGAACCCGGGTCATCAATGTCATTATTTCATGGCAGAAATCTATTGTTAATAAATTATATTGTATACCCGAAGTTGAAATACTATTCTGCATGAAATACGACAAATGAAATGGCAAAAGTAAATACTATATCCATCCCAACTCATCGACATATAATATTATAAATTAATAGTAGTTAATTCTTCATCCACTAATTTTTTTTAAAGTTTTTAAATAGTCGATATTTGCTACAGGGGTTGGAATTTGGTGTGTGATTTTGAAAAAAAAATGTATCGGCCATTTTAATTAAGTGCAATCAGATTTGAATATTTACAATGAAAAACAGTCCGATAACACTACGATAAAGATTTTTCGTTTTTGATATTGTGGTATTTTTACCAAGTAAAAATATAATTCTTAAAGTTATTGTTTTCATACATTAGTTGTGGAACAAACTAATTTCATTCAGGTCCTTTCAATCATAATTCGAAACCAATAAAATGCAAACATATAGAGAATTTAGCAAATTACCTATTTTCTGTAATATTCTAATGTAATCGGTAATTATATGAGGTTATTCACAAAATACCGGAATTTACGTTCGAGTGCATCGTACAGCGAAGGTATTGTCCGAGTCGTGTGGAGTTAAACGATAAAACACATGGGAAGAGCAGCCTAAAGTTTCGTTTGAGTCTTACATCTCTCATTTGCATACGTCTGCCGTACCGCCTACATTCTGCTGTTTTAATCTGAGTTTCAGTGTACAGGGCATGATGACAGGATCACCGACACTCAGAACATCGACGTGCTGTTGTAGACAATTTGAAATTGTTTTACTCATCAGGAATTTATTATGAGTAAGGTACTTGTACTTTACAAAACAGGGCCGTAGAGTTTCAATATTCAAGTAGCTTTGTGTTACTTTGAGTTTACCTTCACCAATTTTCTACATTTTTACAGTAATTTCGGTATTTTCCTTGCACATGGCGTTACATTCAACATTCAAATACGACAAATTATGATCTGATTATTTTAACATAATTTATCCTAGGTCAAAGGTCCCTTCATGATGACTACTCAGATCGATATATGATGTGTTCTACAAGTAGACTAGAATATACTCACTCTTTTGCAAACACCTGATATCACTTCTTGGTGTTAACTATGAGGTTTATATATAATTTTTTGTATATACATTGTTTTTTTTTAAATTTCTGTACTACTATACACATTCTCATGTGTAAATGTACTATTTTTTGCCCCATCTATGACTGTTAAAAGTCCATTTTACTTTGTTGAAATCCCTATACGATTGGTGATTGAATTTAGATTATAATAGATGGGGTGTCAGGAATTCCTTTTTCATATTTACAGTGGCAAGCTTGAGGAAAATAAAATCAACGGTGTGGTTAGCGTGTCTAAAGTCGTCATGCTGACAGACAAGCGGATTGCAAAACACATAAATTAATAGAGATGAAAATAATCGCCGCATTTAAATTAACTATGTTGTATTAATAGTTTACTCGTTTCCAGGGTAACTGTATGAACCCCCTGTGAAAGATTAGTACAATATAACTGACAGTGTATCTACACTTTACCGATTATAATTTTCTTATTATATACAAATTAAAACAGTCAGTATATACACCGATCATAAATACAAATGCAGCATCAATATAAGGGAACTGGTGATGATTAACCATAACTGCCTTAGCACAATGTAGGAGTTGAGTTAAATGACTGGTAGAAGCAAGGCTAGTAACATTTTGCGAAACTTGAATTGTAGCTAGTTAGAATTACCAGACACGCAATCGAGACATTGTGGGATATCGAAATATGAATGATAATAAACAGCAAGTGACATTTCCAGAGATGTAGTTGGAATTGAAGCGAAGGAGTGGCATATTAATTCGTGAAACATACTACACATATCCGTTCAGTTCATCCTGTCTTATTGTGTGTGGGGGGGGGTAACGCTGTCATCTACACAATCATAATAACTGGAAATGGTTTCAGAACGGAAAAATGTTTTATTACTGTAAGTAATTATGAACAATAAAAACGGAAATTTAGAAAATTTGAACAATATATAATGGAACTCGGAAACTAAACCTAACATGGTCTGCAACATGAGGTGTGGAAATGCTGTCCGTTCTATTTAGCGGATTATGCTCAATGACGTATTTTCACCGTTGGACACTTATCATTAATGTACGGGGTAATTACTCTGGCCAATAATATTTAACTTCTTAGCTCTTCGATAAAACAGCGGTTCTCCTGGAGAAGTATGTCCAATGTTTCACAAGAACGACTGTCCCAAGAGATTTTCGTCTTCTTAATTAATTAATTAATTAATAATAACGATGTTGCATGTTTTTCAGCTGACAAATGTATCTTAAAATCGTAGGACTGAAAGAATTAATTTACAAGTAAAACAAAAAATAAGAGAAGAATGCCATTAGCAGTAAATACCAGCATAACGAAGTCACGTTTATTGTGAACGTAACACAATGACATTCGATATAAAGATATATAAAGATGCAAGATCCTACCGAAATTACAATTACGTTTTAGGAGTATAATAGTCCATTAACTTTGGAGATTTCTGGCTTTGCTTGGTCACTCATCAGTTAACGGCTGTACCAAATACTTGCATGTAATCCATGGAACATTTTCGCCAGCCAAGGTTAATTTTTTTCGGCAATCGCTTCACCATTAAGTTGACACAACTCCTACTAAAACGATGGGTGCTCTGGCGCGTTTCCATGGTAAATGAAACACGAAGTCACGTGATATGACTTGGATTCTTTTGAGTAATCGTACGCAAACGTCGCATATTGTTGTCGGTTAAGCTATGGTGTGATATAAGACGGCAAAATATATTGGTTCAAATGTGAAATATTAAGATGTTATATCAACACTGATTGGTCAATCCGTCCACTAATCCCTTGGCGTGTCCAATCAAATCATTCATTTTAACTGAGGTCAAATACAGCTATTCGTATTACGACCACGCGCGGTTTCGTAAGGACGATAATAGAATGACTAGCACACGATCAACTAATTATGACAAGTGTTTAACGGTTCTCCGCCGACTGCTTTCAGTCTGGATGTGAGTGACCCAGCGCACATTTACATGATAGGAATGTTATAAAATGTCAATTTACTATTTTCATATCAACGCGTACGCGTACTTACGTAATAGTCCCATCTCGAGTATAATCATGTAATCTCAAACATCATTATACATCGGTCACCGTAACGCCATAAGTTACAGCGTGCCATAATTTTGCGATATTTTTCGGGGAATTTTCATCCTACCATATTAGAAAATGCGAATTCTAAATATGGAATGATGACACGCGTAAGCGTCCTCTAATAATAAAAACAAACATGGCTGCCCCAGGGTTTGACCGGAATCCACGCAAAGAAGTTCGCTGATTCTTTTTTTAACTTTTTGGATTCCGGCATTCCCATGATGTATTCTTGGAAGGAAAAGATGTATAATAATAACGTTATTTCGGGATACCTCAATATATGCACTCGGACAGTACGCCGTCGCATCGACCTCCGCTGCGCGTCGGTCGATACTCCCGCTGTACTGCCTTCGTGCATACTTTGAGGTATCCTTGTAATAACCTCATATTATGTAATATGCTAAAAATACCATAAACCATAATACTTACCTCTTGCACTATACATAAATACATAAATTTAATAAATAAATATTACTACTAAACACAACTTAACTCGACACTGACACAACAACACTGTACTGAAGTCGAACCATCGGTCTTATTTCTGGTCAAGATAGGTATAAATATCGGTAATATTTTTCCGATTTGGTATATGAGCGAATATCTCCACCTCAGACCCCGGCCTCAGATCCATATATACATCAACCCGGAAATTAAACAAGGCAATCAACATTTAAACGTAGATTTAACACGGAATAGAAGGGGGCGCACATTCCTCAGTGAATGTGTGAACATGTGCTTCTTTTGGAGATGCTCTTCTAATAGAGCAAATACTGTAACTGTTATAATAAACAGTGATGACAGAAATGGTACTTTGGTATAAATATGGGTATATATTTTGCCCCTATCCAGGTACAAAATGGCCACACTTTTGAGCACTCAGGGGCACCTCCCGACCCAGCTACCCGGCACGGTTTATTTGATTACCAG